TTCGCGTTTATCACGAGTCCTGCCTCTTTAAGGTCCAATATCACACGCTGGCAGATCGCTTGCGCATGGTCTTTCGACTGACAGAGGAATAAGATGTCGTCCACGTAAGGGATGACTCGGATGCCTTGTTCTCGCCAGCGCCGAGCCAGTTGCTTGATGAGCTGCGTGAAGACGAATGGAGCTGTCGCGAGGCCAAATGGCAGTGAACGAAATGCGTACGTGCGCCTCCCAAATTCGAAGCCGAGGAACTTCCAGCATGATGGGTGGATGTCGATGTGGTGGTAACCGGATTTAAGGTCAATGGAGAACATCCAATCCCCAACGCGTGCCAGGTCCGCCACGCGGTTGAGCCCCTCGTACTTGAACTTGGGGACGATTAAGCTTGCGTTGACTTTCCGCAGATCAAGAATGAGTCTGCATTTGTCTTTTTGCTCGACCACATTGAGTGGACTTATACACGTCAGCTCCGTTGCGGGCATCTGGACTGCTGCTCCGGTCTCTAGGAGTTCTTGGATAGCGGTACGCGTGAACGTAGCATGCGTGTTTGCCCCGACATGGTTGCGATCGTGGAAGGGTTGTGGTGGGCCGTGGCTCCATGGTAGCCAATAACCCCTGGCGATGACGGAAAGGACGAGGCTGCAGGGACACCAGGAGCTCCACCACGCAAAGGTCGCACGAAGTCGACCGCGCATTTGTGTAATGGTTTTGTCCGTGACGGCAAATTCATACGGATCGTCGTAACATACCGCCTCGCACTGTCGTGCTCCTGTAATTGAGGCAAATGGGGTAGGGTTGGGAGTTCCATTTGACGCATGCATGTGCGTGTGCATGTACGCGCAATCGTTGATCAATGGTGTGAATGAGATTGCCTATCTATCGAAAGGACAACAAATATGTCGTGCGCGCGCCGACGCTTCTTCTTCTTCTTCTTCTTCTTGGTTTTTTTTTTTTTTTTTTTTGCTCCATGGGCACCCTGATCATGGTAGGCAAGTAGGTGTCACTCTCTGGACCCCCTCCTCTTTTTTTTTTTTTTTTTTTTTTGTCTCATCTAGCACCGTGGCTAGCCCTTTTTCCGATACATCACATCGCGCTTTTTTTTTTTTTTTTTTTTGCTCGCCTTGTCATCCACTTGGTAAGACGTGGTTGTGCATGCCTTTAGTGCATGTGGGCTGGTGCTTTGAACCATGGACATGCGTGTCCACCGTGCTTTGTCTTGTTCTCTCTCTCTCTCTCTCTCTCTCTCTCTCTCTCTCTCTCTCTCTCTCTCTCTCTCTCTCTCTCTCTTCCTCTCTCTCTCTCTCTCTCTCTCTCTCTCTCTCTCTCTCTCTCTTCCTCTCTCTCTCTCATGCTCTGCACCTCCTCTGTGTGTCTAGAGGCTCTTTGCAAAATAGTAAATCAAGGAACTTTTTATTAAATCAACCAACACACATTGCAATGCTTCCTAGCATTCATCACCCCACCGGGTGGCCAAATACATGGGGCCGAGGGGTTGTTGTTCCCCTTCCCTATCCTAGGCCCAAAGCCTATTACTACCCTTCACTAGGGCTGGCCTCTTGCCATCGCAAACCCCTAGGGCTGCCCACGGTTTCCGCACTCAAGAGTGCACCGTGCCTAGCGCCCAAGGCGCCTAATCCCTTGGCCCGCTCCTACACCACCGGAGCGGGTCCTTGGCCGCCATGCCCGTTCCTAGGGCAGGCACTTGCCACATGTCCCGGCTGGCCGCAGCGGAAGCACGAGCCCCGAAACCCACGACAATTGGCCGTGGGCGGGGGGGCCCGCTTGGGTAAGAACGGCATCGGCCCGTTGTTTCCGCCGCGGGTGACACGAGCGTATGCACTTGCCGCGCGGTCCATTGCAGCCATATCCGCGACCGCCTGCTTGAAGGGTCGAGAGGTCAGCAGGCTCTTCTGCTGGTACAGTTTGAAGCGTTTCGCCGTGCGGAAGTTGGAAGCGTCCTCCACTTGAAGCACCTCGAAACGCCCCGAGATGAGGTTGAGCGCGTGTGAGATGAGTTCGAGTCCGCCCGCCGAGTCGCCTCGCTGCGCCTTGTATTCCGCGTGCAGCAGGTACACACGCAAGTCCTCCAGCAGCTCCGCTTGCTCTCGCACGGAGTCGTTGACGAAAGTCGCCGCCGAAAAGGTGAGGTTAGAAGAAGGAAGGGGGGGGAGGTTTTCCGTGCCAATAAAATTAGCAGTGTTGACTGGAGCCTCACCAGCTTCATCTTCAGAGTCGTCGGTGTCGTTGTCGACCGCCGGAGCAGGGGGAGCGGCTGTCGCTGCGTCGTTGTCATGCCGGTTCGTACGTGCTCCTCGCGTGCCTTTTTCCTTTTCGCGTTTTCTTTTTTAGCCGACGCAGATGCAGCGGGTAGTGCAGTTTCCGCAGCTGTAACGCTGACGGGCTGCTGCTGTAGAAGGGATAGCAGCGCGTTGACCTGGTCCGGGGTCAACGCCTGCGTCAGTGCAGGGGCGGTCGTCGCGTCAGACGAGGAGACCGCAGTCCGCCTCCTCTGGCGCTGACGCGACGGTCCAGCCGCGGGTGCTGGCGTGTGCTCGGCGTCAGGTGCGTGTGCCGCGCCAGCTGCCGTCGCCACTTGCGCCGCAGGTGCCACAGGCGCCACTGGCGCCACTGGCGCCACAGGGGCCGAAGGGTGCTGCTGGGCGTCGGCACTTTTGTTGACCTCGACCCGCCCAGCAGCACGTCCACTGCAGTCGGGGCGGGCGGTCCATCTTCTGCCCGGCGCTTGTTACGGCGGTCGCCCGCAAAATCGCGGGTGTTACTGTCGGAGTCGGAAGCGGGGTTGGACGAGTTCCCGTTGTTAAGTGTCGTCGTCGGTGCCATCGTTGATCGATTGAAGTAAAAAATGTCGCTAAGTAAAGTCGAGGGTGACTCGCCTCTAGGAAGCGATTTTGTTCTAGCCAGCTTGGAAGGAGAGAAAGACTACGTGAGCGGAAATGTTGAGTGAGCCGTTTGAAATAGAGAAACGTGGGGCCGCGCGCGCGCTGCGCGGGCTCGACGCGGGCTGCGCGGGCCGTGCGCGGGACGCGACGCGGCTGCCGAGGCGCGATTCGGGCAGGAGAGGGCGACCCGCGGGGGTAAAAACGAGGCAGCGCTTGAAAATTAGGTCTGCGGGCGAAGCAGCAGCAGACAGCTCAGTCAGCAGACAGTAGGCAGCAGGCAGACGGCGCGCGCAGCGCAGCACGTCAGAGGCAAAGTCAGTCACAGTCACAGTCGTGGGGTAGCGGTAGGTGGGCCCGAAAAAAAACGGTCCTACGGACCTACTGCTCTGAAACCATGTCAGAATCAAGAGGCAAGAATGATTGACTAGGAAGCAAGGATGAGTACAAGTAGGGCAATGTCTAACCCTAAAGTGTTGTACTCAGTAGAGGCTACCCCACTACAGCCTACAACATAGAAACATAGTTTGACAGCGTTAAATGAAGAGTTGTGAACCACCTTGCGCTAGTATGTGAGGGCAAAGTAGATTGATTAAAGCAAAGAGATACAAGATTATATAAGAGTAGAAGGAAGTACGAAGGGATACGGTTGCAACTACTTTACTGTTGCTGTTGCGGTTCGATACAGTGACGACTCGGGCAACTGCTCTGTAACGAGTCAGTTGTGTGTCCTTGCTGTCGCGCTGTATTTGTCAGGTCAAAGGTCGCTGACCTTTGACTTTCGCGTAACCTCCAGCAACTGCTCAACCTCCGAGGGTTGACTCGCCAGTGCTTCGATATGCTTTGCTTCGCTTCTGACTTGGTGTTTCGACACGACAGAGGCGCTTAAGATCGATTGTTTCCAACAGTACTAACCCTGAAGTGATGTACCCCTTGTAGGCTAACCCACTAGCCTAGAGAGAACACAAACATATAGTTTGACAATAACCGTTGCATGTTTTCGCACATAAGTATTCGCCCATACCCTCGCTCATACTTTGTACTCTTTTGACACTCTAGTGCAATCCTCGCTACTTCGTTCCATTGCACCCGTAACACTTACACAATTATGCAAGCCATATTAGAAACAGTCCCTCTCCCTGGTTTCATGTGTTCGGTATGCCGGTACAATGCGTCATGTGGACAAACTAGACAAAACACATCACATGGAAGCAAAAAAAAACCACATCCTACTTACGGTACGGTACCCTATTCCCTCTTCACTTTCCCAGTCTGGGATGGGAATCGCTGGCGCAGGCAACTGTTCTGTTCTAGTATTAGCCTCAGGTCAGGACATGCGATGCCCCTGGGTCCAAGACTCCGAGCTCCTGGAGAGCAAGCAATGGCACCCTTTCTGACGCACCTACCAACAGCCTGGCATCCAGGCCCCCTCCTTGTGTCTGACCAAGGTCCCAAGGCCGCAGGCAGGCATCCCAGAGAACATAAATACTGCATATGCCCCTATTTCTGAGAATTCTCGACGTCACAGGCCTAAAGCGTCTCGACAGCACCAGCTGCACCGGCCATGCATACATCAGTGTTCCAACCTCCTGCGCCCCTTAGTGAGAAGGCATACCCTCTCCCTAATCTCAATGCATTCTGCATCAGCAATCTGTACATGCACCTGCGACGGCTTCTGTGACTGTCTGTTGTCTGTGTCTGTGACTGCACGTCCACCCGTGCCTGTCTCAGAGCATTCAGCGGCCCTTGAGAGCACCGGCTACGCCAGCCAGGCAGCGATTCTCTTCCCCCCCACGCCCCAGCGTCTGATAGGATATACCTGCACGCACCACTCTGCACCGCACTGCACACATGCCTCTTGATATATCGCCCCTTCTCCGTTCATCCCCTCTCCCCTCCTCCCATCAAGAGGTCCCCTCTTCCCGCTCCCTCCCTCCCCCCCCCAACCTTCCCGCCCCATTCCCCACTCCCTCCCCCCTCCTCCGCGCCCCGCGAAAGCACCGGCTGCGCCAGCCACGCGGCGATCCTGTTCCCCCGCACGCCGCGGTTCCAGAACGGATATCCCAGCATGCACCGCTCTGCACCGCACTGCACAGAACTGGTCCATCAATGCTCCTTCTCCAGCCTTCGTTCATCCCCTCCCCCGTCCTCCCTTCCCCCCTCCTCCGCGCCCGTCGAAAGCACCGGCTGCGCCAGCCACGCGGCGATCCTGTTTCCCCGCACGCCGCGGAGCCGGCCGTAGCACTCCCAGAACGCCGCGTGCACCGCATTCCGCCGAACAGCACCGCACAGCACACATGACCCTTTCATCAATGGTCCTTTTCCGGTCTGCACCCATCCCCTCCCTCCTCCCCACTCCCTCCCCCCTCCTCCGCGCCCCATGAAAGCACCGGCTGCGCCAGCCACGCGGCGATCCTGTTCCCCCGCACGCCGCGGTGGCGGCCGTAGCACTCCCAGAACGCCGCGTGCTTGGCGCGGCACTCCTCCGACTGCCCCCAGATGAGCGCAAGAGACGACTGGTTGCGCATGCACGCCAGCAGCGCCAAATGCTCGTCCGCGCACGCGGCCATCGCGGATTCCTTCATTGTCGGATCGTAAACCAACGGTGCCGATTCCTTCTCGCGGCGTCGAGTATTGGTACTGGAAGATCCATTTGCGTCGTTTTCGTGAGCTTCTTGGTTGTTTCGTGAGCGATCTGAGCCGACGGGCTGAGCTGGAAGGTATTCGCGAACGTTCGGGGTGTCGTCAGCTGGCTGCTGCTGCGATGCCATTGGTAGACGGGCTGAGTCTCCCTATTGGTCGAGATCAAGGTACTCGTCACAATCAAGGCGCACGAAAAGTCAGAATCAACTAAGCGATCCTACGAGAGCAATGCTGCAATGCTGCGCGATCCCGAGCGAGCCTGCGCTGTGATCCTGCGCTGTGCTGTCACCGCGGATCGAGACGCATGCCAACCTCTATCAAAACACCATGCGAGAGGCTTGGCGTGGCTGTATGCGAGACGCCTAGCAGATTAGTCTGCCTGCTACTGCTACTGGGGGAAGTGCAAGGCATTGGGAGGATATCCGCGGTACGGACTGCTCGTACCAGTACCATATTGTCAGGCCAAAACCAAAAGGGGTTAACACATGGCGCAACACATGGTTTAGGGAAGATGATAATTGAAGCCTTGTGATCTAGACCTAGTGTTCAAAACCTAGGCATTGTTACGGGATTGTTTACAAATTTACACAAACCCATTGAATCCCATAAAACATCTCTCGTCTATTTAGTCATCCCTGTAGTAGTTGCACATCTATCTCGTCTCTCAACCTTCCTCTGTTTCCTCCACAAGACTCAGCATGGGACCATCAGGAGCCCTAAGAGCTGCCACCTGCACACAAAAGCAACACGCAAAGAAGAAAGGAGGAAACTATTCTTCTTGTCTCCTACGTACCGTAAGGGCCTTTTTTCTCCTAAGCCCCAACGACCGTTCGTGCTTTATAATGTAATCGCTGACGACTCACTCGGCCTTGTGGCATGTGCACCACAGCACCATCCATCACCGCTCCCAACCGCAGCATGCGCAGGAGAGTGGAATCAAACTCTCCCTCTCCACGCACAGAGAAGGAGAGCAGAGGAGAGAAGCCGTGAAATGTGTGTGCTGTGCTGAAAGGGAAGGGGAAAGAGTGAAACGGGAGGAAAAGGAGGAACCGGGAGAATGGTTATTAAAGGCCCTTCCCATAATTTCTCTCACCTACCCAATTTCCTTTCCCCTCAAACCTCCACCTCCTGTCACATTCCTGCAGGGAATCATTCCCTTCCCTCCTGCTCTCCTCCCTCGTCCCATCACTTCCCCCCACGTCCCCCCACCCCATCTCACCTCTTTCCCCAATCCCCCACTCCGCTCCCCCCCCTCCCTTCCTGCACAACCCTCCGCCACCTGTCGCATTGCTGCAGAGCTATCCGGGTGGGCATTACCAAAACCTCCCCCCCCCCCCCCCCCCCCTCCTCTCTCCCCGTTTCCCCCCCACCCGTTTCCCTCTCTCTCTCACAACAACCCCACTACCTTACTCCCCCCGCCCCCCCACCTACAATCCCCCCCCTTCCCCCCCAACCCTCCGCCACCTGTCGCATTGCTGCAGCGCGATCCGCGTGGGTCCCGCCTGCACCTCCGCCCAACGCTCGGTGCACACCAACACGGGCAGGCCCAGCCCCTCCTTGAAAAAATTCGCTGCCCGCGGCACGTCCTGCTGCAGTAGCAGCACGTGCCGCAGTGCCGCTGCTGCCACTGATCCTGCCCGCCCTGATTGCGCCATGCTACCAGGAGAGGGTTCCTCGCGAGTTCATGCGAGTTAGGGTTACCGGGTCATTTTGATAAATCGCCTGAGATTGCTACTAGCTCGCTTGGGGTTGCCACTCTCACTACAGTCTCCAAAAGGTTCGACTAAAGCTGGAAATTTTAATTTCCTGCGGCTTTATTTGGCCAGCGGCTTCAGCGACACGCGCGCGGAATTTGTCAGTTCCGAGGGACAGTCCGGGAGGAAGTAATTTGAAACATCTGTGATGCCTTCAGTCGGATTGCATCTTTTGCACTTTGTGTTCGTGTACTAGTTGCGAAAACGATACGGTTGCCTGGTAATTGTCACAGCTTGTATCGCGGTTGGAAATTGCCCTGGCAGCCGAGATTGGAGAGCCAGCGGGCGTGCCTCGGCATCAGGTTCGGTTCAAGTGTCATGAATATTTCCATCAATAACATGACGAAAACCAGCAGCTTCGAAATTGGTTTGAGAGACACGGAAAACAGGTTCGGTAGTTTTAGGTTAGGGAGAAAGCAGTGAATTTCAGGATTTGACCCATTACCCATGTCCATAGAACTTGCTTGCATTGTCAGGCTCTTATAGTTCCTAGCCGTGTGATCTGGCACGGCATTGTCACGCACGTTGTGCTTTCAAGGCAGCGATTTTGGACATTTCGGCAGAACGCGACTTTCCAGCGCCGATGGCGGAGGAGTTGGCGCCATTGGACGAGACGCTATCCCCCACAGACGACGGATTCCATGCGCATGCGTTAGGCGGCTCGGTTTTTAGCGGCTCGGATGCGGAAGCGCCGGAGTTGGGATCGCTAAATGTGTCGCGTGGACGAGCCGCGGAGCGATCCTCGCGAGGAGGCGGCGCGGGAGGAGCGAAGCGGTTCGGACGGGGCGGGATGGTGATGGCAGTGATCATGCGCTTACTGGCTATAAACAAGCGGATATTAATCCCCGTGGCGCTCGCGTCGCTAGCTTCGATGTTGATGGGATATGGTATGCCAGCTAGGATCGTTGAGTTGTACACAAGGCGATAGCACGGCGGTCGATGAAAGTTCACTTGCACGGCATTGGATGCTATCGGGATTACGATTCACACATGTCGATCAGATGTCCTTCCAAGGATCTCCGCTCATATCTTCCCCTCTTATTTTCCCCTTCCCCCTCTACCCGCCTCTCCCCCCCTCCCCCCTCCCGTGCACCGCCTTTCCCTTCCTGTTCTGTGCTGATCAGCACGATTTTTGAGTCGACTGGAAAATCGTCTGAACAGCACGATTCTTCAGCGGGACGAAAATATAGTATGATCAGCACACAGACATCACCAGCTGTGTTGTGTTGATCGCACTGCCTTCCCAGTCGACTCACATTTTCTCCTCGGTTTTTTCCTCACACCCTCTCCTCCTCTTCTCCTCTCTCCCCCATCCTTCTTCCCACCTTCCCCCCCTCGTCTTGGGGCAGACATAGGCGTGACCAGTGGTGCCGTGCTGATTGTGCAGCGAACCTACCACCTCAGCATTGCGGATAAGGTGAGTGCGCCACCTGCCAGTCACTGCCACGTCACCTCTACCAGCCACGTCAGCAAGGCAGATAAGGTGATCCACGTGGACAGTGCCACCACCCCAGTTGCCTGCCTGCCACCATAGCACCAAACCTCAGGATATTGGTTTCGCCTTAAACCAAGGAGAATCAGCACCCCAGCTTTGCCAACCTCATCCTCTGTTCCGCGAAGTCCTAAAACTAGTCCTGCTCTGTTTTGAGACGTCTCAGAACTCTCTCCTCCTGCTGTATATGTTCTCTCATCACCACTGCCCACCCCCCTCTTCCCCTTCCGATCTTCCCCCCTTCTTCATCTCTTCAGGAGCTTTTCATCGATTCCTTCAGCTTCGCAGCAGCCCCCTCAGCCCTCGTCTCCGGTTCTTTCCTCTCACCAACCTTCCCTTTCGTCTCTCCTGGCCAACCTATACCTTCTTACCCGAAATCCCCCCTCGCAGGAGCTCTTTATCGGTTCGTTCAGCTTCACAGCTGCCCTCTCAGCCCTCCTCTTCCTAACCCTCGCTTTCCTCTCTCCTAAACCCCCCATGCCCCATCCTCCCTCTCTCAGGAGCTTTTCATCGGCTCCTTCAGCTTCGCAGCAGCGCTCTCAGCCCTCCTCTCCGGCCCGCTCGCCGACTCCTTCGGCCGCCGCCCCCTCCTCCTCCTCTCGTCCCTCCTCTCCTCCCTCGGCTTCCTCACCATGGCCCTCTCTCACACCTTCCCCACCCTCCTCTTCACCCGCATCCTCACCGGTTTCGGTGTCGGAATCGGGTTGACTGTCGGCCCTCTCTATTGTGTCGAGCTCGCCCCAGCCGATTCCCGAGGCTCTCTGTCTGCTCTCAGTGACCTCCTCGCTTCCCTCGGGCTACTCCTCGGGTATTTAATCTCCTTTCTCCTCTCGCCGTCCCCTAAGTACGACCCGACATTGGCTGTCGCTGCTGCCGCCGCCGCCGCTGCCACCGATCCTACTGCTGCCATGGCTGCCACGGCAGCTGCTGCAGCGGCGGCAGCAGCAGCGGAGAGCGCGTTTTCGCCGCACAACTGGCGGCTAATGCTGCTGTTTGGGGTGGTGCCGGCAGCAGGGTTGGGTCTCGGGGTGTTGTGGCTGGGTGTGCCGGAATCCCCGCGGTGGTTGGTGCTGGTGGGGAGAGTGAGGGAGGCAGCAGAGGTGCTGCTGGTGCTGGAGGAAGGGAGAGAGGTTGAGACTGCTGCGTTGCTTGAGGATATGACTGCTGCGGCTGCTGCTGCCGCTGCTGCCGCTGCTGCTTCTGCTGCTTCTGCCACTGCTGGTGGTGGTGGTGCTGGTGCTGGTGGTGGTGGTGGGAGTGATGATGCAGAAGCAGCAAGGTTGCTTGGAGGGCACGGGGAGACAGCTTCAGCAGCAGGAGGCGCAGGAAGCGGAGGAGGAGCAGTGGGAGCAGGGGCAGCAGGGGGAATGGCAGGTCTGCACTCTCTCACACTCACCGCCCCAGCAGGAGCACAGTTCTGGAAGGGACCACCCGGGGGAAACTTATCTGGGGGCGGTGGAGGGGTGGGTTTGCGGAAGGGGGGGATGTTGGGGGGAGGGAAGGGCAGGGGGGTGGGCGTGGGGGTGTGGAGGGAGTTGGTGCGGCCGAATGAAGCGGTGAAGCAGATGCTCATGCTGGCCGTGGGGGCAGCGTTCTACCAGCAGGTACCACCTACCTACCACCTGTTGAGTCATACCACTTCGTATTGCGTAGTGTTGTGTTCTGGCCTCTCTGAAGAGCCTGCTGCGGCAGAATGAGGCGGTGAAGCAGATGCTCATGCTGGCTGTGGGGGCTGCGTTTTACCAGCAGGTAAGCATTCCAAAAGTTGTCCCTCGTCTCACATGGTCGCACCTGGGTTGGCTGTTTCGGATTGTTCTTTCTTGCTTCACCTCACCTCCTCTGCTCCCAAAATCTCTCTCCGTCCCCCCACACAGTGATTCACCCACCACCAGGCCACAGGCGTCCCCGCGATGCTCCACTACACCCCCGAGCTATTCGCCACAATGGAACTCACCTCCTCTACCGCCTCTCTTCCATTGTCTCACTCTCTCCCTCATTCCCTTGCCCAATCTCTCCTTCCAACCACCACCAGGCCACAGGCGTCCCCACTATGCTCTACTACACCCCCGAGCTCTTCGCCACCATGGGGCTCACCTCCTCTGCCACTGTTCCCTCTGTTTCTCTCTATCCTTCTCCCTGCACTTTACTCAACAGGCCACAGGCGTCCCCACAATGCTCTACTACACCCCCGAGCTCTTCGCCACCATGGGCCTCACCTCCTCTGCCGCCATCCTCTCTGCCAGCCTCGCCGTGGCCCTCGCCCGCACGCTCGCTTCCCTTGTGCCCTTGTCTATTCTGGACGAGATCGGGAGAAGGACACTGCTGCTCATCAGCACAGCAGGTGAGGCACCCGAGTCAGCACAGCAGGTGGGTTTCAGCTGTCACTTGTTTCCTCTCTGCTAGCCTCGCGGTGACCCTCGCTCGCACATTCACCTCCCTCGTGCCCCTCTCTGTATTGGATGCGATTGGAAGAAGGACACTGCTGCTCATCAGCACAGCAGGCTCATTTTGTTGTATGAACCTCTCACTCCCCTCTCACCTCTCTTTCCTTCCCTCCCTCTCCCTTCCAGGCATGACCATCGCCCTGCTAGCTCAAGCGATAGTCCTCCACACAATGAACCTCGGCGGAGAGTTTGACATCTCTTCAGAAAACCCCTCCTCCTCGTCCCCGCTCACTCCTCTCGTCTCCCGCCCATTCCAATCCAACGCCGCTGCTCTCTCCGTGATCGCCGCAGCAAACCTAACCGTGTTCTTCGCTATAGGCCTCTCCCCCATCTCCACTCTCCTCCCTCCGGAAATTTTCCCCCTCCGGTTACGGGCCCAAGGGACCGGCCTTGCCGTGGCTGTCAGCAGGCTAGTTGCTGCGGCACTTTCCTCGTCTTTTCTGAGTCTCGTTGACGCGACCAGCCCCGGGTTTCCGTTCTTTGTGTTTGCGGTGCTTTCGGCGGCTGCGGTTCCGTTTCTGCATTCGTGTATGAGGGAGACGAGAGGGGTGAAGCTTGAAGGGGCTTCGGCGCTATTTGAGCCTAGTGCGGGGGGCGGAGTGGGGAGAGGAGGGGGAGGGGGGATGTGGGGGGGAGGAGCGGGAGGGGCAGCAGGTGGGGGAGAGGAGGGTGCTGTGATGGATGGGCATGGGAGAGCGATTGGGAGGAGGGCTAGGAATGTGGGAGGGGGAGATAGGGCTTCGACCAGTTGACTTAGTACCCTTCCATTGTAGCTGCAGGTTTTCCAAATGGCAGGCGCTATTCAAATCAGAATTTAAGTCTTCTGTGGCTGCTTGTTTGTACTCTCGTCTCGGGGTCACCTTATGCCATATTGCAATGGGTGTGGTGTGGTGGCTGTTGCTTCAAGGAGGTTTAACAGGCTCGCCACAAGTTGGATGCGAGGTGTGCCTGATAAGGTGTCATCTAAATATGCCGGTGGCATTCATACTTCATTGTTTACAATCCAACTACCGTGCTACAATGAAAGTTCATTATGTGATATGTAGGGACAAGTGCAACAAAAGTTACTACACTACCCTTCCCTTTATCTCAACTATAACTATGGTTTCGTCTTGACTGGTCCCCGTGTCCACAAATCTTGCATTCATTGTGCCTCAAATTTATTGATCTTGGGGAATCCCGCGTTGCTACACATGATGCTCACCCCCTGCACGCGAAATTGCCTTCACCAGATGGAAACCTTGCACCCGTGGGTTTTGTGCCGTGAGGTTGCACCCACGTTGCAAGCACGTCGACCAATACGAACCACAGAAACTGAAGTCTGACTGAAGAGACTGCAGTCAAAAAGTCAACGGTGAGTTCCAAATGTTTCTATAAGCCTTTTTTTTCCCGAAGCGAATTGACGAAATCTCGGCGAAATTCAGGAATCGCTTATAAGCCCGAAGGTTAAGGCAAGGTTGGGGGTCTCAACCGGGCATCGTGTGTATTAGAAGGAACAGCGCACACCGACGCACTGGATTGCGCGGTCCGATGTCAAATCTTCCGCGCTCCGATGTCAATCCACTGGAACTGTTCGTATCTTGTGAACCATCAGCGCACTGCCACTACGAACAAATTGGTTGACTTACCAGTTTACCCTTTCTTCTCACATTTCGATTTCTCCCCACAATAATTACAAGGGCAGATTGGTGGGAGGCGAGGCTGCCTGGGATAGGAGAATTTGACGAATCCACGCAAACGCCTGACTTTTCCCTCGTGACCGGAAGAACTTGTAATCCAATCATTTCGCAAGGACGCTCGCCCTTAGCTTCTCTTTGAAGGGTCAGGCGCGCGTCAGATCGCACCACTTGTGCGTCAGCTGGATTATCCATCCACATCTCGCACGCGTCGCACTCGGTGATAAATTTGGAAGCGCCTCATGGATTACTGTACAGTACAGTAATCGAGGGACCGTCCGGTCGAATATAAATGCACGTTGCAATGCAATGCAATGAAAGCGCAAGGGAAATTATATGGGCAGTCACAATTAAGCCCGGTTTATCACGTTTGGTCACAGGGGTATCAGGAACAGTCACAGTACAGTAGACTTCTATCGCGGGTGATCACAGTGCTATCACGGATGGTCACTCGCAACTGAAGTTCACCTTTTGGGGCGGTGCAGTTCCCTGTCAAGTTCGAGCATTTGACGGGGAATTCGGCAGTATCGTTTGCCCGCGTTTGTTACGCGATGGCGTTCAAGTTCACATGTCAAAACACAAGCGTGGTGCAATACCTCAACAGTAACACTGTTCAGTCAAGACAAATTTTTGCTAACTAAACGCCAAACGCACAGTAGCCCGAACTTCACCAAAATTTTGGATTTGGATCGATCTTCTTCAGCATTTTCGAATTAAAAATTAGAGCTGTAGCGCGCCCTAAGATTCCATTCCATCCCATCCTCCACTCACGACTGGACTCTCAAATCACACCACACGACCAACCTTGAGGAACAGAAACTCCAATGTTGAGTCCGAAATCACTGTCGTCTCGTCGACCGACACCATGCCCTGCCTAGCCCTCCGTTTTCCGAGCTCCACTGCCATGCCATCAATGCAAGCTGCCTGGCAGAGCGTCAAAGTCAAGTCACTCTGGCGTCCACTGCACGCCCTGATACAAAAGTGCACACTGGCAGCAGCTCGGCTCAACCGTCCCTCGAAGACATCCTTTGCACTGCACTCGAGCACACCCAGCCAGCCAGCCCTCGGTCTACGCACGTTGCGTACCGTCCGTCCTTGGATGACGTGAATTATGTGATTTAATGAACCAGTGGGAGACGCCGTCCTTCCTCAGACTCCGGCATCGGATGCCGCTCTGCGCCCGCCGCGTTTACTACGACGATTCGTTGAGAGGCCCCCGAGTCCCGCTCATACGACCAATGTAACGGTGCATCGTGAGTCGTATCGGGTGTTTCGAAGTATCGACTCAAATAACACTGGACCCGTAGTCCTCGCTCCCGACTTTCATGCCGTTTTGATCCTCGATTTAGAAGCAGATATCTCTTCAAGACTACGCGGCCCGCGTTTATTGTCTCATCCCTCATCGTCTCCGCGCTTTAGGAGTGAATTTCTCCACCCTCATCGTCTCACTCCGCGCTTATTGGCGCCTCTCCGTGACAATTCCGCTTGCATCTCCTCGCGTCGACGTTGGGAAAGTCGCCACTAAGTCGCAACTTGCTAAATTTAACTAAGTATTGGTAGACGAACGTGTTCGCGCGAACAGCCGTGCCGCCTCGCTGCGGCTGCTGCTAAATAGTGAGCTTCTTTCTGATCCTACTTCCTAAAACAAACATTCCCAGGCGCCCATGGACGGAAACCGTTCCGTCATCGTCGTCCTGCCCGACGGCTCTCTCCGTCTATTTCTCCCTGACGGAACTTCGTCCGGCTGCGATTCGGGCCCCAATGCCGCCATTTCCGCCGAAATTTCAGCGCGCCGCGTCCTCGCAGACTTCCCACACCACGTCCTCTCCACTGATCCACCGCATTCCGCGGCGTCAGACCCGGCGGCGCGGCCCTCCCCACCGCTTTCCACAGTATCCCCCGATTCGATCCTCGTTCCGGCTAAGACCTACTACCTTATTGCCGCCGCCGTCGCCCCGGGTGAAGTTTCCACCGAGGCTACCTTTTCCTCCGAGGCGCTTCGAAACCACGATGGCGACAACGGGTTACTCTCGTCGACTGATCGTCGCCGCGCTGTGGAAGTTTCCGATGATTCGTCTGATTCGCACGCGGTCCGTGCCGCCGCGCTGAGCTGGCAGCTCAGCGACGACAACACGATCGCCGCCAAGTCAACTCAAGTCAACGACTTCAAACCGCCGCTGCGCGGCAACTCGGCGTTCGTGCCATCACCGGTCGAAGCGTCACGCCGCGAAAGAGAGTGCGGAATCAGACCTTTCGCCGTGGGTGACGGTGGTAACTCGCGAACGGCTGAACTCGTCGCGGCTTGGCTCGACGCTGACTCGGAATCGGACACGTCACGTGCTGACGTCGGAATTGAGCGGATTTTCGGGGCGGAGCCGTCTCAGAAGAGAAACCATACGGGCTTCGAATGTTCCGCGAACCGAGTTGCGGAATGGTCTCGGATGTTGGAAATGCAGCCTCGAGCCACACTCCATCGCAGCTATGGTAGCACCATCCTCGGTGTTCCTGCTGCTGGTGCGGCTGCCGGTGGTGGTTCTGCTGCTGCTGCTGCTGCTGGTGTTGCAGAGTGGAGCTTCTATCAGAGGGCCCAGCGATCCACTCAACTGTTGGAAGTGCCGCCTCCAACCGCGCTCCACCGCACCCGTAGTAGCATGACAATCGGTGCTGATGCTGCTACTGCTGGTGGGGCCGGCTGTGCTGTAGAAAGCTTGTTTGAGACGGCCCAACGATCGACTCGGATGATGGTCTCGATGATGCCGCCTCCAACCGCGCTCCACCGCACCCGTAGTAGCATGACGATCGGTGCTGATGCTACTGTTGCTGGTGCCGCCGGTGGTGTTGCTGCTGTTGACTGGAGTAGCCTTTATGCACCTCAGAAATCGACTCAGACCGAGGTGCCGTTTCAAGGGGCAAATCGTATTTATCGCCGCCATACGACAGGTACGGCTGCTGCTGCTGTGGCTGATACCAAGAAGGGTTACCCCGTTCGTTCCGTTGACACGCGTTTTGAGCTTGCGCCTACGAACCGTGCCGAGTCCAGTATTCTGAACACGGGCGGCTTGAGGAGTCGTAGCGAGCGCTACAGCCCCTGGAGCGGCTGTAGCAACAGTGGCGGCACTTGCGGGAAGAACGAAACCAGCTACAGCCCCTGGAGCGACTGTAGCATTGGCAAGGGCGGCTGTAGCAACGGGAAGAACCACAGACGGGACTGCAGCAGCAGCCACAGCCCCTGGGGCGACTATAGCAGCAGCAGCAGCAGCATCATTATCAGCAGCAGCAGCAGCAGCAGCAACGGTACCAGTGGCAGGAGCAGCAGCAGCAGCAACGGAACGAGTGGTATAGGCCAGGGCCGAATCAGCGGCAGCAGCTACATCAGTAGCGCGACAGAGCAGGACTGGGGGAGCGACACCAACGGCTGTAGCAGCGGCCGCTACAGCCTTAGGGTGGACGAGAATACAGTCTGGCCTCCGCAGGAAGCCTGCTGCTCTCCCCTGCCGCTGCTACAGACGCGCTCGGATGTAGCTGGTGCTGCTACAGCCTTGGAGGATTCCACGTGGGAAGAAGACAGCGCATTGAGTGTCGAGGTGAGGATTCATTAAAAAAAAAAAAAAAAAAAAAAAAAAAAAAAAAAAAAAAAAAAGTGCTTATGAAACGCTTTCTATCCTCTGAGGTTGCTGCATGCCTCTCCTTATGAGTCCCTGTTTATCTTTCTGGCGCATACAACTTGAAATAAACTCCTCTGTATCCCTCTTCACCTTGCAGATGGCCGTTCTCTGCTACTCCTCCAACCCTCGCCAAGTATCCCTAGAAACGCAGGCATCGGCAACATCTATAGTATCCGCAATGTCTACAGTGCGTACGCTTTCTGCGTTATCTGCAGAATCAGCGAATTCTGCACCTCCGTTCACTGTACAAGCAGCCTCGTTTTCTGCACAACCGCAGCAGTCCCAACCTCGGTTAATCAAGAAGCAGCATTCTGACACTTGTCTGCCGCCTTCCCTTTATGGTTACAGCACTGCTGCTACTGAGACGGGTAAAATAGCCAATAGTGGAAAACGTGCCAAAAGTGGAAAGAC